TTTATAAACCTAGGGTAGTAATAATTATCTTTTTGGCAAAATACACTTTTATTTTTCTTTCAGTCTTTATGATTTTTGTTTCAAAGGAAAGCACTTGGCAGAAGGGACAATCATCTGAGGATCCCTGGGAAGTATTTAATCTGATTTTGCACAATGGTATGTTTGAAGCTGCTTTAGCACTGAAGAAGTTCTATTTTAAATCAAATCTACTGATCTATGGCTTTTGGTTTGTTAGCAGTTGCCTTTCAAGTTATAATATACTACTGTTTTTAAAACCTGAAGAATGTTTGCTCTTCTTACATCTGCCTGTTGAATACCACAGGCAAAATATTAGCTACATGCTTTCAAAGCTAAATGACATTGTGAAAACAAACAATATGATACCCTTTGTTCGTGAAATATAGTATTTCTCAATAAACTTCATGGAGGAATGTTATGAAACCCAAAATGGTTTATTCATTGGATGCTGAACTGTATGTATTCCAAGAACTATAGTGTCAATGCACTTGACGGTGTATTTTGGTTTCTTTCTTTGTGTGACTCTTAGCTTTCTAGCTCTCATCACTTACCACTGTTTCCTTCCTTTTACTTAAAATCATCTACAAAGAGAACACAAAGTTGCATAGACGAATGTAGCAATGTAGAAAATAGGTCTTCTTTGGAATCTCACTTAGACCTTTCTAATGGGCTTGCCTTTCGTGACCTGGATTCAGAGAACTTCTTAAATTTCATCTGCCTGAAATTTAAAGTCATTAAAAAGGATCCAGAGAGCCATTATATTGACTATGTTTTCTTGTTTGTATCTAAATGAGGCCAGAGAAGTAAAGATTTTTCTTACCTTTGCAAGGTTGATTTTCTTTTTATGCTGTGGTCAAAAGAATCATAGTGAATAGAGTATCACTTTCATAGGTGGTGATTTTTGTCATTTGTTTCTGATGTATCCCAAGTACCCAAAGAGATCCTGGAACATAGTAGGTACACAGCAAATCCTTGTTGAATGAATGAATGAAATAACTCTTTTGGGGATTAGCTCTGTGCAATTTTAGATTGAAGTCAGTATGGGATTCAGAAACATGTCCTTACTTTTGGTACTGTAATAAAATGGATAGATTAAAATATTAATAATTTCTTTGCTTCAACAGAATGACCCTGGGTGTTATTTATTTTGGCTGGGAGCCTGGTATGCTGAACAAAATGGTTTGAATGTTTACTCTTAAGCTCATAAAGGGGATTTATGAATGGCTATTTCCATTTAGAGTAGAAAGTTGATTGGGTAATTAATAATGTTTCCATTTCCGATCCTATCTTTTCTCCCTTGCAAATCTGACACTTACATGTGTGGAACATATCTCCTTGCAAAGCTCCAGAAATATTTGGGGGTGAACCTGCATTTCTAAAATAAACGATTTGATAAACCATAGGCCTAGTTTAACATAATGATTATTTCTCTTTTGTCACATGCTGTACTAATCTTTCTTCACTTTTATCTTCCTGTCTTCAGTTCCACTAGAAGATTAGGCATGATGTAAAGGAGAATGGTGCAGATGTGCAGAATGTGGGCTCTGATATCGGATGGGGTGGGGAAGACAGGGATGGAGCGCTGTTAGCCCTGTGAGCTTGGATGGGTCATTTCATTTTTCTATGCCTTGATTTCCTCATCTGCAAAATGAGAATAATAATCACTATCTTCTGGAGTTGTTGGAGAAATTAAATTGGATAATGCATACAGTTACGCATAACATACCTAGCTTAATTTCAGCACACAGTAGGCTCTTTTAAAGTACTTGTTGAATAATGATAACAACAACAACAACAACAACAATAATTTGTTGCATTGATTTCATGAGCCTGAAAATAAAAAGCTGAGAGAAGTGGCCTCAGAAATCTTTACTAACTTAGAGTAATAAAAGGGAGAGTGAGCGTGAATAAAGGTACACATTTGAATGAGGAATATTTTCTAAATGCCATTTGAATAACTGTAAAGGATACTTAGAAACTTATCTAGTGGAGATTGCTGCTTAATCAGTGTATAAAAGATAGAAGATATTGGCCAGGCATGGTGGCTCATGCCTATAATCCCAGCACTTTGCAAGGCCGAGGTGGGTTGATGAATTGAGCCCAGGAGTTCAAGACCAGCCTGGGCAACAGGGCAAAAACCCCATCTCTAACGACAACAACAACAACACTCCAAACCACACAGACACAGAAACAAACAACCCCCGCCCCCACCAAAATTAGCCGGACATGGTGGCACACACATGTAGTCCTAGGTACTCGGGAGGCTGAGGTAGGAGGATCGCTTGAACCGGGTGGCAGAGGTTGCAGTGAGCTGTAATTGCATCACCATTACACTCCAGCCTGGGTGACAAAATGAGACCCAGTCTCAAAAAAAAAAAAAAAATTTTCACGATCTAAGTACATGGACCTGTCTTCAAGGAGTTCACTGTCAGAAGGGACAGAGGAGGAGGTAGTAGTTTTCATGATAAGGCTTTCTCGGGGGCATATGGCAGACATTACATTATAGTATGGGGCTAGATTTATATTTTAACTATAAATCCATGAAAGCATTTAAACTATTTAGAAACAGTTGCCTTTAAAAAACCAAGTAAATACTCTCTCTTGCACTCTCACTTCTCTGGTGCAGCCCTTTCCCTAATGCTAGTGCAGAGTGAAGTGTCAGGGAGGCCTTGTATCTCACACAAATTCTGAACTGGTAAAGTATGAGCTTGTGAGTTTTTTTTAATTAGTCTAGGAAAATCAGATATATTATCTTCTAATCATTTTAAAATCATTGTTTAAGTATTTTTGGATTGCAGATAGATGCCAGCAATCTATTTAATGCCATACCACAGTAAATCGCAAGGTAAAAACCGAAGTCTTGAAGCTCTTTAAGTTTTCAAAAGTGTTGATTCATTTGTTAGTAGCAAAACCAGCTACATTGATTTTCTACTTGCACAGTGCTAGGTATTATACTGTAATTAAATTGTTTCCTTTAATTCTTGTAACAACTCTTTGAGGTAATTATTTATTCTCACTTTACAGATGAAGAGACTAGGGCAGATTAAAATGATTTGTCGAAGCTTCTCACAGATGAGATTCCAATTCAGATCTCTTGGGCTCTAAAATTCACCATTTTCCAAAATCCTGTCTTTAATTTTGTTTTTTATTTCTTAACTTTTCCTTTAGAAACAATTTGACTTATAAACCATTTCAAAATCAATATGGCAAAACAAATAATTCCCGTATACTTTTTTCCAGCTTCCCCGAACCACAGTATACTTTTTAAAACCAGGAAATTAACACCGATACAATGCTATTAACTAACCTATAGACCCTATTTAGATTTTGCCAATTGTCCACTAATACTGTTTTTCCAGTCTAGGATTCAGTTCAGGCCCCTACAGTGCATTTAGCTGCCAGTCTCCTGCAATGTAGGGCAGTTCCTCAGTCTTTCCTTGCATTTCCAGACCATGGTGATTTTGAAGAGTGCTGGTCAGTTATTTGTAGCATATCTTTAGCTGCACTGGGTTTATGCGTACATTTGATGTTGTGATAAGAGGATTTTCCTCTGTGTTACAATGATAAACTGTCTTTTCAAAACCTTCACTATGCCATTGCTGATTATTGGGCCATTTTTGAAAGAAAGAGGCTGATGTGCTGTTGGTTGGCCTTTGTTTGGAATCATAGCTTTTCCTGGCCAGAAGGACCTCGATGGTCACCTGGTGGTTCACCACCCTGGCCTCACAGATGGCAGCGTTGTAGTCTGCATGTCTTGGCTCATTGCCCTTTTGTTCTTTCTATTTCGTCATCCTATTGAAAGACCAATGAACAGCCATTCAAAATACTTTTCAACTTAATTATGTTTTGTCCTTGATCTCGTCTTTGTATAAAATCAACTTTGCTTTTCTTCTGTGATAGACTATGATGTGTGGAGCTCATAAAAGGAATTTGGCATAGCTCGTGGTGATGTTTTTCTGCTGCTAAACACCAAATCTCTTTTCAGCAGCCCCATCTCTTTGCATGTACATGTTTGGCAGCAGCCTAGATAACAGATTCCCTTAATGCTTATAACACGGGGATGTTAATATACCAGACTGACAGTAGGTCTTCTTTGCCTTCTTTGCAGGACTCTTCAGACAGATCTGTCACTCACCTGCTTCCTTGTACTCTCTCGGATAACCTCATTTGAAAATTGGTAGACAGTGACTCCTTTGGATGTCATTGACTGTTTCTGAGAGGGGGAGAAAATGTTATAAAAAACAGGCATTGGCTTCTGAGCTTTTTGGAAAGTTGATATTTTAATAACTCTTTTAAGAGTAGGCTTTCTGAAAGCTTATGGGTTTTTTTTTCTCTCAGCAAATATGAATGCTAAATGTTATATCTTCATGAAGCTTCTCCCACAAACATATTGAATATGATTTCTGTAATTAGATGGACTCAGTTTCTTGGACTCTTACTTTTTATATGTGTGTGTTTGCTTTAATGCTTATTCCCCCCGCCCAATATTATGGAATTCTTGGCTTATCTTTTAATATGTAAAAAATAAAGCAAGCAGATACAAGAGCTTTAGGAGAGTCTACATTTTACCCTTGTTAGACTGTAACATACATATGATATATACAGTGGTATTTGCAGTAGCTTCATGTCTTGGGGAAAGGAAAATGAGTTAGTTTACACATTCTGTGAAGAAAGTAAAAATTATAAGGATATGCAAAATGAAGTCAAATATACCTTTAAAAATCCCTTAAATCATCCATAAAGTAGTATAGCATACATGGCATATATATGCAGCCCGTGGGATCATTCTCATGCACACTGCTGTTTGTGATCACCTGAGTCAGGATCAAGAAAGACAAGGACTTTTGGCAGATATCTGGGTCTTCAGATCACTTTGCTTTCATGAGAGTCTCCAGTATGAAATGGGGATTGAAGAATCCCAGTGTGACCCTGCTTGTCTGCAGGCTTTATACTATTATATTTATAGCATTAATACTTGATAGGTTTTCATGCTTTGAGAAGGGCTGAATGAAATCATGTGCATGGCGGCTTCTCTAGGATAGCACCTTGCATGAACCAGTAGCTGCTTGGTAAGTCTTTGATGGGTGTGATCCTGATTTAGCTTGATCAATTCTGCAATCATACTGGATTGTGTTTGAAAAGGTGTCCAGAAAAACCTGGCCACCTGCCTCCTGTCTTCTTCCCAGGTAAGTGTTTCTGGTGTTGACCTCTGAGAAACCTTCCCTTTTTCAACTCTTTCTCATGGGAGTTTTGGTAAATTTTCATGAATTAAAACATGAATATTCAAGTTACCACGAGATGGCGTCAGATCATTTCAAGTAATGCCAGGTAGGGGGCGCCTCAGTTCAGTAAATCTTTAAAGAGGTTGAAATACGTGCCTTTCATAATACGGCAGTCAGCTATTGCAAATAAACCCCTACTTTCTTCTAGTATTCTTCTATGGAAACTTGAGGCTCATGGCTCTTCAACTCCAAAAATTATGTAAGTGTGAAGTATTTGAGTTTATAATGTTTAAGAATTTCTCTGATAACTTAGTGAAGTAATCAGAACTTGTAAAATTTGATCACCATGTCTCCCTGGTGATTACATTTTCAATGTCCTTTATAGTTTAGTTGAGTCATCTTCCTACAAGGTATGGTGAATGTATAATATTCAGTCAATATATATTTATGGGTATGTAATGAACAAGCTAGAACTGTAGTAAATGAGATAAGCCCATTTTACTTTAGTGTACATGTTACAATTTACACACATATAATCACAATTCAGAGGACCTGTGTGAGTCTCAAATATCTCCCTTACTTTAGGGGTAGTATGTAAGCGAAAGTCTCCTTTGCTGAGGAGCAGAGTATCTAAACCTGACCCTCTGTCATAGGCATGTAATTTGGAAGGGCTGAACTTCAAGAAAGCAATCATTGTAGTTCCAAGCATTTTTTTTGTGTGTGAGACAGAGTCTCACTCTGTCACCCAGGCTGGAGTGCAGTGGCATGCTCTCGGCTCACTACAAGCTCCGCCTCCCAGGTTCAAGCAATTCTCCTGCCTCAGCCTCCTGAGTATCTGGGACCACAGGTGTGCACCACCACATCTGGCTAATTTTTGTATTTTTAGTAGAGACAGGGTTTCACTATTTTGGGCAGGCTGGTCTCAAACTCCTAACCTCAAGTGATCCATCAGCCTCCCAAAGTGCTGGGATTACAGGCATGAGCCTCCATGCCCAGCCAAGCATATTTTTTTTCCCTAGGGCTAAAATGAATGAATGAATGAATATATAAATAAATAGATTTTTTTTTTGTTTTTTTTGTTTGTTTGTTTGTTTTTGTTTTTTGAGATGGAGTGTCGCTCTGTGGCCCAGGCTGGAGTGCAATGGCACAATCTTGGCTCACTGCAAGCTCCACCTCCTGGATTCAGGCCATTCTCCTGCCTCAGACTCCTGAGTAGCTAGGACTACAGGCGCCTGCCACTGTGCCCGGCTAATTTTTAGTATTTTTTAGTAGAGACGGGGTTTCACCATGTTAGCCAGAATGGTCTCGATCTCCTGACCTCGTGATCCACCAGCCTCGGCTTCTGAAAGTGCTGGGATTACAGGCGTGAGCCACCGCACCTGGCCATATATAAATAGATTTTTAAAAACCAAGTTTGTCATCAGTTATCAAGATTACAGTTTCCAGGATGGAAGTGTGAATAACAGAGTTTACCAACATGGAACATGAAGAGATATTGAGGTTGCCGAAAGCTGAGCCACTGCTCTTCATAGATTGGTTTCTGACTGAAGGCAGGCTCATTTTCCAAATTGATCCCTGAGGTCATTGAGGTTTATATTCCAAATTGTTTATTCAGAAAATATTGACTGAGTGCTTTCTATGTGCTGGGCATTATGCTGGCTGGTGGAGATATAGGAGTAACTGAAATAGACAGTATTCCTGCCCTCAGAGAGCCTGTGTTCTAATCTACTGTCTTTTTGGGTCATAGATATCTTTAAGAATGTGTTAAAATGATGAACCCCTTTCCCTGAAAAATCCATTAATAAATCAATATCACACACACACACACACACACACACACCCCTGCTGTGGGTGGAGACCCACAGTCAGAGTTTTGTGTTTCACTTCCTAGGGTTCGGAAAACGTAAAGCTCAAGTTTGCAAAGTGAGGGGCCTTTCTTCTTTCTCCCATCAGGCTGCCTGCTGCTCTTGCCTTCTGCTCAACACTTTGTGATGTCATGGATAAGACTTCTTGCTAATTTTCTTTTCAGATTTGATCACATGATACATCGGTAAACCTCAGGGAAAAGAGTCCAAGGGGGCTTAGTAGGCTCGGGTCAGCAGCTACCTTGTCCTGTGGCTTCTAGGAGGTCACTTCTGCTCCCAGTGTCTCTCTTTTCACATCTGAGTAATGGAAAGGATTGTGTTAGGTTAACTCTTAGGTGATTTAGTGGTAGGTTTGGTGGGCAGGCTTTGTAGGTTGGCAGAAAGTATCAGGGGGTAAATTATGTTACCCCCAGATATACTATTCATTAGCTGGACAATTTGAACAAATTATTTAATTTATCTAAGCCTTATTTTTCATATATGAAGTGGAAAAAGTAACACCTTATAGAATGGTTTTGTGAATTAACTGAGCTAATGTATCTAAAGTGTGTAAATTGCCTAAGACAAAAGCAGTGGCTATTATCAACCTTGTCACAGCCAAATTGCTTTTCAAGGGAATTAAATCAGCATGTTAAATATTTATTGAGTATTTACTATGTGCCTAGCAAAGCATACTTCTATGATTATCCTACTGTGATGCTAACCCAGCCACCAGACAATGATATTAGACCATAGTGAAGAGGTCCACTCTATATTAAACAGGCCTGGTTTAATTCCCTGGCTCCACCAGGAGCCAGCTGGGTGACCCTAAACAATCCAGTCTTCGTTCAGTTTCCATATCTGAAAGATGGGGATGATGATATCACATAAATCAGTTATAACAGAGGCTGTTGGATTTAGACAAGATTGTACAAGGAAAGCATTTAGTACAGTGCCTAATTCAAAGAACACTCTTGGTTTATGTTAGGCTGGTTCAATATTAATACTATTATTATTTACTGATTAGCTTAACCTCATCCCCCTCAGGGCTAGGTTGGATCTAAAGAAGGTTTTCCCCAGATTTCATGTAAGTCGAGATGATGATAGCATCTCACTTATCTAGGCCCAAGTTATAAAATTAAGATCCATGATTCAAAACTGGGCTTTGTTTATAAGTTTCTTGGAAAATATTTACTAGTCCTGCAAACAGCTGTGGTTACTACTAAATAATTCACCTTGGTAGATTAATGGTAATTATTTTTTGTATGTTTTTGTTTAGTACCCCAACCCCATGGATAAAAATGTCCTCTCTGTAAAAATCACGGAGGAAAAAAGAGGTAAGTTCTCTGTACAGTTTTTTTCAGTAATGATCGGTAAATGATAGTGATTTTTGTAAAGATGTGTGTATGTGTGTGTGTGGCCTATTAGGTTTTTAAAAAAACTGTTCACCTACAGTCCCTTTCCGTTATTAGTTGTTAAACAGGTATATTTCTGTACTTGAGGTGACTTAGAAAGGTGTGGCAGGTAAAGCACCAGGATTTACGACAATAAAAGGCCTGCTGATGCTTTTTGTCACTTTCTAACTAATAATTGATGACAACATTGAGCTATATATAATTGTAACCGCTAACATTTTTGAGACCTTAATATGTGCCAGGTACTCTTATTAATTCATTTAATCTTCAGAACAATGTGTGGGATAGGTATTAGACTACTCATTTAATGCATGGAGAAACTGAGATACAGAGAAGTTAAGTGACTTGCTCAAGGTCACATGGCTGTAGCCTATTATCATATCATTTTGTAGATAGCAAAATGCATATGATTAAATATGAGATGTGACCATAAAGTGATTGCTTATGGAATCACAACTACTTGGCAATGTGGTTTAGCACTGACTAAATCAGGAGTTGACAAGCTATGGCTTGCGCTGCCTGTTTTAGTAAATAAAGTTTGATTGGAACATAGTCACATTTGTTTACATGTCATCTATGGCTGCTTCCTCACTATAACAGCAGAGTTGAGCAGTTGCCACAGAGACTTTATTGCCCACAAAACTTAAATTATTTAACATCTGATTCTTCACAGAAAATGTTTACTGATTCCTGGTCTAGAGCATAGGAGTCTCTTCTGTTCTGTGTTATCCCTATCTCCACAAAAACCATTATCAGTGTCAGTGTTTAAACTTGAGAACTGGGCAAAGCAGGAAGCTGTGACGATGCACATAGTCAATGTACAAAGCTTTGGAGACACTGGGGCCTAGGTCCAGCATGCCCTTTAGCCTTCTTAGGAATCATGAGATGCTACTGTTTGTTGTATGACTCTGGAGCCCTCTCTGTGCTTGGCAAACATAACTGCCTTTTGCTTGTATATGCATTTTCTGTACTTCTATAATCATATAGATATATTAAAAATATTTTCTCATGTACCTGCAGTGTGGGAAAAACTTATTATTTGTCATCAGACAAACTGGATTTCAAATCTCGATTTCATTACTACCTTGGTGACCTAACTTTTTGGAGCCTCAGTTTCTTCATCTGTCAAATGGGAAAATAATCTTGTTTTTAGGTTGTCATGAAGATCAAATGAGAGAACACTGTGCATATTCTAAATTGAAATGTTAATTATAATTTCTATCATTGTCAGGGGCATCTTTGTCGTTGGGAGTGGCTAATCCATTTCGAGTATGTGTGAAGCAAACCCTGGATGAGATGGCCAAAGGGAGGGCCAGTGGGCAGAGGGGTTGGCACCCTATCAACAGCTTCTGGGCAGTCAGGGTTTTTGCATCAAGGGTTGGGACTACTATAGCCAGAGCTTTGGGAAAACCTGTAACAGCGTGGCTAAGTCACAGTGATTCACAAAGCAGAAGACTGCACTTCAGAGTTTATTCTTTTCTCTGCCTCTGCCTTTCTTTTTCTTAACATTGTTTTTTACTTCCCTGGTTTAATTCTGGAAACTTCATCGCAGAGCAAAATGGTTGCAGTCCTAGTGTTACAGTAGGTAGCTAGTCAAGTATGAGCAGGATAGAAGAGGGCTTACACACACACACACACACAGAGAAGAGGGCTTACACACACACACACACACAGAGAAGAGGGCTTACACACACGTACACAAGAGAGCTTACACACACATAGAAGAGGGCTTACACATACACACACAGAAGAGAGCTTACACACACACACAGAAGAGAGTTTACACACACATACACACAGAAGAGAGCTTACACACACATACACACAGAAGAGAGCTTACACACACACAGAAGAGGGCTTACACATATATACACACACAGAAGAGGACTTACACACACATACACACACACATAAGAGAGCTTACACACACACACACACACACACACACATGCACTCACCCAGGAGTGTTGGGTGACCATCAGGTGATGGTCAGGCGGTTGTTAACTGTCTCACTAAAGTAATAATTGGTCACAGTTGGCATCAGGCAAAGACACGCTCCTAATAGATAGAAAACACCTGAAACTGATGATCAGCAGCTTCCTGATAAGATCTCAGGATTTGGGAGAAGTGATGTAAGACCCCGGACGTATGCCAACGCGTAAAACCCCAAGTCAAAAGGTCAGACCACACACTTGCCTTTCAGATTGCCCGCTTGGCTGTCTTCCAAGTGTCCTTTCTTTCCTTTCATTCCCATTCTAAAGGAACCAGAATAGCTTTTTCCTGTTTAGGAAGGTTTTTAAAAAGAATAGGAATAGCCATTTCCTATTCTTTTTAATAAACGTTCACTCCTGCTCTAAAACTTGTCTTGGTCCCTCCTTCTGCCTGATGCTCCTCAGTCGAATTCCTGCTTCTGAGGAGGCCAGAATTGAGGTTGCTGCAGACGCGTACAAATTTGCGGCCGGTAACAACAGGAAGTCTACTCCCTTATGAAAGATAAATGTGGCTGGTAAAATGAATTATAGGTTTAAATTTTGTAGCCAGATATCTGTACTTGAAAGTTAGGTACAGAAAGTAGCAGCATCAGGTTCTCCCCCTTTTTGTTGAAACATTCTCTTTGGAGTTGAGCAGGAGTCCCACTGGTCATCGTCATTGGGGCACTGACACAGATCGTCCAGAGCAGCGAATGGTTGTGATTATTTCATCCTTGACATTGGAGTGTGCATTCTGAGTTACTGTTGTACCCTTATTCGTTCATCACAGGTAAGGAATATCTGATTTGGCCCAGGAAAGTGTCAGGGAAGCTGAATTTTGAATTAAACATTTTCTGAAGGAATTCTGCAAATAGAAAATTGAGATTGACTTTAAAAGATTTATTGTGGGAGGCTGAGGCAGGAGAATCGCTTGAACCCTGGAGTTGGAAGTTGCAGTGAGCCGAGACCATGCCATTGCACTCCAGCCTGGGTGTCTCAAAAAAAAAAAAAATCAAAAACCAAAAACCAAAAAACAACAAAAAACCCCCCAAGATTTATTGACACTAAGAAAAGATTTCCTTAATTTTTTGTGTATAAAAAATTTTCTTTTTTAGATGAATCAACAGGGGTCATCTACAGAAAGAGGATTGCAATCTGTCAGAATGTGGTTCCAGAAATTTTAAGGAAGGTAAGTTCATTTTAAAGTTTAATCACAGTTGTTGTAACATTGAGTATTTTTTAAGTCATGAAAAGGAACAGCATTTTCTGATGTAAAGGAGCATTAGAAACTTCCTCCTCCTTTTACTTCACAGCTTTCTGAGGAAGAAAGCTCTTTCTTATCCAACCTCAGTTTTAGCAGATGCCACTGGAGATACTTTGTCTTTCTGTCTTGTGAAGGACTCTTAATGGACATAGAGATGTTGTGCAATTACTTTAAAGATACTTTTGGCATTTTGCATGACGTGACTAATCTTTTCATGATTAGAAATGACTCTTAGGTGAGAATGATCAGAAATGGAAAGATTGTAAATATTTAGTCTCATCTTTAATAAGAAAGAGAAAAACTTCAGTTTCTAATTCACTCTCAGAGATAACAGCTATTTACCAGAGAATAATGTTCTCCACGCCCTCTGTTAAGTCTTTATGTGTATTTCTCTAAAGTAATATCATTGATGATGAAATCTTCATGATAGCAAATGTTTTCTCTCTTTGAAGAAGAGCACGCTGGTGATTCTTTGTTGGAAAAAGGTGAGTGGAAATTTTTAATCACATTGCTTGAACTACAGAGGGATTTTCAGTGGGAGTCCTTTTAGAGCTATGAGGAAGTCAGAGGAAAGCATCTGGATATGCCCTTTCAAACAGGTCTCAGAGGGTAGTTTCAACCTGAGAGAGATTCTGTGTGTGATGTTGTGTTAGTCCATTCTCAGGCTGCTAATAAAGACATACCTGAGACTGGGTAATTTAATAAAAGAGTTTTAATGGATTCACAGTTCCACATGGCTGGGGAGGCCTCACAATCATGGTGGAAGGTGAAGGAGGAGCCAAGGCACATCTTACATGGCAGCAGGCAAGAGAGTGTGTGCAGGGGAACTGCCCTTTATAAAACCATCAGATCTCGTGAGACTTATTCACTGTCATGAGAACAGCACGGGAAAACCCGCCCCCATGATTCAGTTACCTCCCACTGAGTCTCTCCCATGACATGTGGGGATTATGGGAGCTACAATTCAAGATGAGATTTGGGAGGGGACACAGCCAAACCATATCAAATGTGGAACCCAGCTTGGATCCTGCCGACTAGCTTACAAATTAAATTGCTGTGTTGTAGGTGGAACAAATGGCAGCTTCCATCACTTCCTTATCATGAATTAAAAGACTGTCACATTCTTCAGTGTAATAAAGCTGATATGACAATGAAAATTAACTTTCTTTTTTCCAGATGGTAAAACTTGTTGCACTGTAGCAGCAAAATATTACTGGCTTTTTCCAGAGTGTATACCCTGCCTTTGCCCTGTATACTCACTCTGAATCTATTATTTAAAAAGGCATTCAACTTTGTCTTGTATCTCAATTCTTAAATAATTTAAGGACACCTCTGACTTGTACAATTCTGCCTTTGTAGTTTTCCATGTCTTCACCTAGGAAACCATACATTTCTACGTATTGGACAGAGTTTAAAATGAAGAAAATATTTTACCTGATATTGTTCTGCATGTAAGCCTGTAAGTGGGCTCGATTAGAATCCATCAATTTAAGAAGGCCATAACCAGTCTTAGAGGAGATGCGAAGGAGGCTGATAATTTGCTTAGTGTTTAACAGTTAGGGAAATTAGGCCAGGGACTGTATAGCCTACATAAATCCTGGGTCATTTGCATGTCCTCACCAGCACTTAGTAAGGTCATAGTATGTTTGATTATCAAAAACGTACAGCCACTGGTGAGCCATCATCCATATATCAGGATTACTTGTCATCTTGGTTATCCAAGACTGAGAGTAACTCTGGATGTGGTCATTATGTAGCCTGCTCTTCCTAAATTGAGAAAGCCATTCTCTTTCTGTTGGGCAGGTGAGCATTTTGAAAGTACCTAACATCCAATTAGAAGAGGAGTCATGGCTCAATCCTCGGGAAAGAAACATGGCTATACGGAGTCACTGCCTTACGTGGACACAATACGCATCCATGAAGGAAGAGTCTGTCTTCCGGGAAAGTATGGAAAACCCAAATTGGTAAGACTCGTGTGTGTGTGTGTGTGTGTGTGTGTGTGTGTTTTGGATGCAGGGATGGACACATGAGTACATACATTCAAAATCTGTGGTTCTATACTTATGACCTTTGTTTATAACTCATATGAATTCCACATTATTAATTTTTTAATCACAGTAATTAATGATTTTTTTGGAGGGAAGATCAGGAAATGATAGAGTTCAACTCCCATCTGACCATCCCTCCCAATCCTGGTGTCTTTTTCACCCTCTTGAGAAGTAGTGTTTGTTATCAGTTTGCTGAATATTCTTCCAGACCTTAAAGAGATACCTTTAGATACTTACATATATACTCATAGAGTCTGTATAGTGTGATTTTGCATACATTTTTAAACATATATTATAAATTATTTTGTAAATTGTGAGTTTGTAAATTGTGTACTTTTTTTTTACTTAATGGAATGTTTCTGAGCTTAAACCATGCGATATATAAATATATATAAACAAATAGATATAAATATATACATAAATATATAAAAAAAATATATAGCTTATTCCTTTATTGCATATAATTCAATCCTGTGACTGTATGACATTTTATATAGCTACTACTTTTTTGATAGACAGATGGTATCTAAGTTCTTTTTTTTACAAACAATATTATAATATTTGTGAAGCATATGTTCCTTGTATGTGATCCTTTATGTTATATATGAGTTGTTTATCTAAAGTAGATTTTTTTTTTAAATGCAGTCACGCTCTGTCACCTAGGCGGGAGTGCAGTGGCATGATCATGGCTCATTGCAACCTCAACCTCCTGGGCTCAAGTGATCCTCCCACCTCAGTCTCCTGAGAAGCAGGGACTACAGGCATGTGTCACCATGCCTAGTTAATTAAACAAATTTGTTTTGTAGACATGGGGTCTCACTATGTTGCCCAGGCTGGTCTCAAACTCCTGGGCTCAAGTGATTCTCCTACATCAGCTTCCTAAAGTGCTAGGATTCCAGGCGTGATCCACTGTGCCTGGCCTAAAGTAGAATTTTTAAATATCAGGTTTATTGAGATATTATTTGCATACAATAAAACTTACTTTTCTTAGTGTATAGTTCTTTGAGTTTTGACAAACATATAGTTGTGCCACCACTGCCACAATTAAACTATAGAACATTTTAGATAGGTTTAAAACCGTTAATATTATAAGACCAATCAATGGGGAAAGAATATTTCCTTCAACAAATGGTGCTGGGATAACTGGATATCCACATATGAAAGAATGAAGTTAGATTCTCTACCTCGTGTAGAATACAAAACTAATGCAAAATAGATCAAATATCTAAATGAAAGAGTTAAAACTATAAGACACTTAGAAGAAAACATAGGCATAAATCTTTGTGATCTTGGGTTAGGTAGTAATTTATTAGATATGATAGCAAAAATTTAAGCAGCAAGATTAAAAATAGATAAAATTGACTTCATCAATTAGAAACTTTTGTGTTTCAAGGGACACTGTCAAGAAGGTGAAAAACAGGCTTGGCGCGGTGGCTCATGCCTGTAATCTTAGCACTTTGGGAGGCCAAGGCAGCCCGATCACTTGAGGCCAGGAGTTCGAGACCAGCCTAGTCACATGGCAAAATCCCATCTCTACTAAAAATACAACAATTAGCTGAGTGTGGTGGCGCACGCCTATGGTCTCAGCTACATGGGTGGCTGAGGCACAAGAATAACTTGAACCCAGGAGACGAAGGTTTCAGTGAGCCAGGATCACACCACTGTACTCTAACCTGGGCAACAGAGTGAGACTCTGTCTTGAAAAAAAAAAAAAAAAAAAAAAGACAATAACAAGTGTTGGTTGTGGATATGTGGAGAAATTAGAACCCTTACATGTTTCTTATGGGAATATAAAATGGTGCAGCTGCTTTGGAGAACAGTTTTTCAGATCTTCAAAAAGTTAAACATAGAATTACCATTTGACCCAGCAATTTCACGCCTAGGTACTTCAAGAGAAATGAGAAAATATATGTCCACACAGAATCTTGTACAAAACTTTCATAGCAGTATTATAATAGCCAGAATGTAGAAACAAGCCAATGTCCATCAACTGATAAATATATAGCCCAATGTAATATATTCACAAAATGGAATATTATTTAGCCATAAAAAGGAATGGAGTGCTGATTCATGGTTAAACATGGACAAATTTTGAAAATATGCGAAATGAAAGAAGGCAGTTACAAAAGGCCACATATTGTATGGGTCCATTTATTTGAAAAGTCCAGAATGTGTAAATCCATAATGACAGAATGTAGATTATTGATTGCCATGGGTTAGGGAGAAAGGAGAGTGATGAGTGACTGCCAGTGGGTATGGAGTTTCTGTTTTGGGGTGATGAAAATGTCCTGGAATTAGTGTTGATGATTGCAGAACTCTACGAATATACTAAACCTCACTGAATTGTGTACCCTAAAAGGGTGAATTTTATGGTAAGTGAATTATATCTCAATACAGAAAACTATATAGCTGATTCTCAGGACATGCATACTTTTATTAGTTTATATGATGTTTTAGTTTGGGCTGCTATAACAAGAATACCATGAACTGGGTGGCTTACACAGTAAACGTTAATTTCTCACAGGTCTGGAGGCTGGTAAATCTACCATCTAGGCCCTGGCCTTTCCAGTGTCTGGTGAAGGCCATATTCTTGGTTTGCAGATGCTGCCTCCTCATCATTGCCTCACATGGTGGATAGAGTGAGTTCTAGCCTTGGTTTCTTTTTATAAGGACATCAGTCCCATCATGCAGTCTCTAACTCATGACCTCATGAAAACCTAACTACCTCCCAAAGACTCAGTCTCCTAGTACCATCCCACTGTAGGTTAAAGTTTCAACACATGAATTGGGGGTGGCGGGGGAGGGTACCGACATGCAGTCATAACGTACAGATTCTGCCACATTGCCTTCCAATGTGTTGATATGCACATTTTACACTGATCAACAACACATGAGAGGGCTCATTCCCTTACAACATTGTCAGCACTTATTCACATGCTTTTTATCTTTTGCCAGTATAATGGGTGAAAGATGATTAATTTTTTTTGAGACATGTTTAAAAATAAGCAAAATATAAGCACTAAATGTTAACAGTGATTATTGCTGTGAACTGTGGTTGCTGTGAACTGGATAATTATCTGTGTTTTTTGTTATTGTTCTGTGTGGTTTGAATTTTTTATTATATACTTATCATTTTATGGAAACAGTAAAGCCCTCAAGCCCAAACAACTATAAACCAAAAATCTAAAATCCATTCTTAAGCCCAAACACTTGTCCAAATCATTACTGCTCTCCATAACTTTGGTCCTGTAGTGATAATTCTAGGATGCTGCAGCAGCCCGTTGAGTGGGTGTGAAAGCCATGTCTTATTAGCATCAGAGGTGGGCTTGCTCTGAACCACCCACTATTTTTTCTGTCTTAGTCTCTCTCATGACAAGAGTTTCACATAGGGCATGGATGTTTGGGATTAAGTGTGAAGGCTGTGGCCAGAAAATAGAGCTTCTTTCTTTGTATGAAGAAATAGCAAAAGGATGGAATTGGCTGATTTTGTGCAAAAAAATCATTTCATCTACTTTGTTTTAGCCTTAATTTTTGCGCATATTTGAGCTATTAGCTAGTCTTAAAAGGTGAACTAAACCTTCATCTGTGATATGTAAAATGACAATTAACTCTGAGAGGGAGGATATCCTTTAAGAACAATTTTTCTTTGTGTGTTTTTCAAAAAGTATTTTAAAATAGTCATTCTGATTCTAGAAACAATAATGCCTGTGTCTTGTAAAAATATTAATGAATTCTGAGAAAAAAAGGAAATATTATCATACCTAGAGATACTGTCTGTTTACATGATTTTCTTGGTCCATTCCTAATTGATACTTAGATTGGTTTTGCTTTTACAAACAGTGTTGTGATGAAACTCTCTATGATTACATATTTTCCCACTTATTCAATTACCATTTAAGGTAGATTGAGCAAAGTGAGATTTCTTGGTCAAAGGTTATATGCATTTTATATTTTGGAACATATGACCAGACTCCTGTAGAAGAAGGTTTGACCAGTTATATGTTTTTTTTTTTTTTACATTTCTTTGGTTTGTTATGTTCCAGTCCTCTCCAAAACACTACCTTTTCTATCATTGACACAGAGGGCTAACACTTATTGATGCCTACTATGTCAAAGTCAAAGCTATATCCTTCATGTGCATTCTTTTGAGGCTTAGGTTAAATAACTTTCCCAAGGTGATACAGTCAGTAGATTGCTAAACCAAGATACAAATGCAGGTATCGTAGACTCCACCTTGAGCACGGTGGTGAGGCAGGAATACGAACATTTACAAAGGATGGGTTTATCTTGTTCTGTAGAGTGCTTTGGATCCCAGGTATGAAGGATGGGTTTTGTGCCTTCAGCAACAAGCAGTCACACAAAGGTTTCTGAGTAGGGGCTGATAGGCTGAAAGTTGGGATCCACATTCTAGAGAACTTATGTTTCCTTAGCTCTTGACATGCATTTAGAAAGGCATTTAGGCAGACATTCTAAATAAATAGGTAATGGCATGGGATGGGGGCATCCAAGAAAGATTCATTATTACTTTAATTTCTTCCCTTTGCTAAGGAAATATGAGAGTAATGGCTAGCTACTGCACCCAGAATAGGGACAATTGTTTTTTAAAGGGAATAAAAAAGCTGTCAGGGCTACTAAGTGTAAAATTAGACTTTCAAGCTGTGTGTTGGTTAGCAGGTGTGGGTGTGTGACTAGAAACCAGATGTCACTCTGTCCCTGTGCATGGCCTGTTGGCTCAATTCAGAGATGGGCTCAAAACAAGTTTCCTTTAGAAACTAAGCCTTGCTCTATGTCCTCTTTACATAGTTCTGATTTTGGCTTCCCACTGACATCTCTACAGTTGTGGCACCTTCTTGGGTGAGAGAACTACATTGGACTTTCCCCCATCTGTACTATCACACAACGGGATAGCACTAATA